CCCCTCCCATTGGTTTTTGAAGGTGAAAAATAGCGTTTTTCCCAAAATCGATGGGCAAGTTTCGAGCTTAATTAGACCTAGGGGAAGTAAGTTGAGTAAAACCTTATAATGATATGATTTGTAGTCCATATCATGAGGAACAAACTGGTTTTTCATTGGAGTCTCTAGCTTCAACAGTTATCGAGATACAGAAGATAACGCAAACCTCCATTTGAGCCGAAAACGCGTTCTTTCGCATTATAAAAGCGGCTGTACCGGGAGAACCGAGCGGATTACAATTTTTTAAAAATATTTTTGAGGTGTGAAACTATGTAGAAATAAGTTACAAATTTTGAATTTTTTTAAAAATTGTGAGCGACCTCTCTGGATGACTTCACATGGAATGACCCGCATGACAATATCAAATGCAAAAAAAATTATTTTATGTACATAATTTGAATTTTTCAACGTTGTTTTTATATTATAAAACTCCATAATATAAGTAGGGGATCCACTTCTTATGCTCACAATCCAAATATATTACAGAATAATTTAAAAAATGGAAAATGGTGCTTTAGAAAATCTTTTTGAAATAAGCATATATATTTTTTTTTTTTTTTTTGTGAAAATGGTGGTAGCAGATGACAGAAAGACTATAGTTGACAGATCTGCCTACTTGCAGAATTAATACTACCTGCAATCAGTGCGTGCTACACTTCAATAGCACACTGTTTTACCATATTCATACACAGCACTGTAATGATATTGTAGAGAGGGATATCCACACAGACCAAATTAATTTCTAGTAGATTTGATGATGCCAGTTTCTTGAAGCAAGAAAAATATATATTACTTTAAATGAAAACATTTATGGATATTAATAATGTTACTGCTTGTGTTTCAAAGCAATTTATGGATCTGTGTAAGAAGTTAATTTCTAAAATTGAAGGGAAGTCAACGGATGGTCAAAGACTGTTTACAAACATGACATGTCATCTATGATCACATCTCTTCCAGTCCCTTTGATGATATAGGTTGTATGCATGCAACTTTCTCTTCACACATTGGAGTGTTATGATTGCAGGACCTGTGTAACCAACTGAATATATCCTTGGACAATTGCAACCAGAAACTGATGGCCACATCTACTGAGTTGGAAGTGACACAAGATAAGTTAAATGACACCTCCATGAAACTCCATGAAACAGTAAATAGATGTACAGAGAAAGAGCATCTGATTGAGAAGCATATGCATACAGAACGCATCCTTACTACACAGGCTCGGTCTATCCTTGCCGTAGCAGACATGGCATCATCTGATGTAGAGAAGCTTCATGACAAACTTGCCAGGAAGAGGTGAGAAACTGTCTGATATCAAAGAGTTTGCTTCGCTTGATCATCTGTTTGTTAGGCCTTATGCAAATTCTCTTGTGGTTATATTTATGTGTATTTTTAAACTTACTGATCTTTGATTTGCATATATATGATTCTTCATTACTACAGATTATGCTTTGAATATGTTTATAAGAAGCTTTATAGTGACTGTTATTTGATATTTGGAAATTTAATGAATTCAACTGAAATGGGAATTATTCTGTAATTTATTTCATATGTAGGTCTGTAGAAGATGTCAACCAAGAAGTTAGTCAAGAATTCCACTTAGCATTTGTACAGAATGTGGCTTATATGGAGGACAACCTAAATAGATTCATTCAGGATTTAACGAAGTTTTGTTCTGGATTGCAAACAAACTTGGGTATGTACAGAACAGAATCTAAGCAGAAGTTTCTAGCAGAATGCAAGTGTCGGCTTTTGATTTTCTGCAAGGAAGCTGGTCTAGCATGGTTGTGGTCTACACTCACCAGCATCCTCTGAGTTACCTGGTTAAATTATGTATTTTATTGTAAAGTGAACAAGGTTAATAAATAATTTTTTAAAACATTTTTAATCACATTTTCTTATTTTGGATTGCATCCCTTTTACAGCCATGTTAAAATTAATTCACTTGATTCGGCGATTTGTAGGAACCTATTAATTGTGTATGATGGGGAATACTTGTATAACATGTTTTCAGACATTTATTTATAATCTTTCACACGTTTGTGATAGTGTAAAATCAGTTCACAGAATTACTTTTCCATGCAGATGTATTTCTTATTGTGTGGTCATCTGACATTTGGAGTCGTGTCCATTTCAGTTAATGCCATAGAACAATTTGATGCATTGTGAAAAAATGAATAGTTTTGAAAATTGTGATTACACTGAAAAAAAAATGGTCTACAAGAGAGAATTCTTCTTATCCCAATTCTTAGAATATTTGCAAAGTTTCATCTCAAACTGGAAAGGTCATTCTTGCATATGCCTAATTAATTGTCTAATGTTTAATCTGTTTAATCTTCAAAGTCTCATCTCAAATTGGAAAGGTTATTCTTGCATATGCTTAATTAATTGTCTAATTTTTAATGTGTAATTCTTGATAACTTCACAATGTAGAATTAAGAATTGAAGGGTAATAAATGTCACATTCTGTGAACTTCTTATTTTCCTGTTCACAGTTTGAATCTTTTAGTTTATTTTGTCTTGTTTGTCAAGTTGTCTTAATCTTTGATGTGTGTTACTTTCAGTATTGAAGTGAATTGTAGTTCTTGAAGGCATTCATGTAACGTCTGTGTCTTTTGAATCAGGTGAACGTCTGGAGAAGAGAAGCACTGAGTTATCATCTCTCAGCAATGAAATTTCTTCTCTGGTAGACAATCAGATTCTTCTAATACTGGACTTAGAGAAGATGTCATCTAACCAGGTAATATGGATATAGTATGAAAATGTTTGTATGTGTTTAGCATCTCCATGTATGTGCTAGTGTACTGTGTTTTGTTTAACAAACTATAATTTCTTAAAATTATCCTTAAAAGAAGGAAAAGCTTGGGTTTGTACTGTCTGATATTTCCATTATCCAAGGCTCAGTGACCCTGTTTGCTTTGGTTAATCAAGGTCTTCCTTACTGCAAGAATAGCAGAGGTTTGTGTAAATACTATGTTGTAAATTAATTTTTAAGATGAGAACAAAAAAACAGTCATTAAAGATTTGATAGAACTAATGTCTTCCATAGGGAGGCCAAGGCCTGACATCGGGCTGTTGTGCCATAGAAGAAGAAGAAGAATGTCTTCCATGTTAACATTTATAATATGTTGAACTTTTTTTATAAAGAATTTAAATGTTCATTCTAATGTATTGCTGGATGTTTATAAAACATATAACTGTAGTGAAAGTAGCAGAAATCTTGTCTCTGTGAAGGCAAGATACATAATCACATTGTTTATTTTCTCCGCAGGTATATAATGATCAGCAGTGGATCCAGCAATACCTGGTCACAGTGCGTTCTACTTCAGACAGTGAAATTAACAATCTTCACAAATTCCTGACAGAAACATTCCTTGTTCCGATGCAGAGTCTGGCTCGTCAGCTTCAGCTGCAGGAGGCTGAAAACCAGGCATTGAATCAGATGATTGTTAATCAGGTGTGGCAATGAGCAGGAGAACATTTATTTGTTATGTGAATAACCAGTAATTAATATAATACACGGAACCAAATCCGTGCATAGCTTAAATTCTTTGCTAGAATGCACATGAAGTATATCAGTTTTGCATGGTATAATGAATGTTTCAGTTCACCTGCAATATTAGTGTGGTGACTTGGTTGTGATCTCTGTTACTATTCGTTATATCTCTTTTCTCAGCTTTCCCAGATGGCATTACTGAGGTTTTGCAACTTGTTAGTTCAGTAAGCTTGCCTCTGGGTGACTAATTTGAAGTTGGACAGTGGTTAAACTGTAGGTCCCTTTAGGGCATATTATTATCAGACACATTCTGTGGACAGAGCCCAGGAAGGTCATTGAAAGGTGAAATTGGTATTTTCACAGAACTCCTAGGTGAAATACTATTACAATGTTTTTTATTTCCTATCACTGTAAGTCAAAGAGGCAAACAAGGTTCGTTATACTTGTGTTTTAAAGGGCTTTTCAAAAGCCACCAAATAGTTCTGTCCATGTCCATCTGTCTACATGTAGAAGTGCCTAAACCAACTGATCAGTTTTGATCAAACTCTGCATTGTGGACCTACACATAATTTTATGGAAGCAGTTTGAGTTTTGCTTAGTTTAGATCATTTTAGGAGCCACTTTGCTTGGAGACCTCTGTTAGCTTATGTCTTGACAGAGCTTGATAAAACTTGATATAAAACAACTGCCATATTTATCTGAGTGAAAGACAGCTCTGAATCTAAGATGGCTATCACTAGAAAACCTATCTACATAGAGCTATTTTATGTAGTAATTTCATACTTATTATGAGCAAACATGAAACAATAACAATTGAAAACATGTTCTACATTATATTTACAATATTTAGTTAGTTTCCATCTTTATGATCTTGAAGTCACAAGTTTTTATCGAGTTTTATTGGTCATTTTGATTCATATCCTGTTTCCCAGTTTCACTGGCCTCGCAATTTCCATAATCTTTTTCACCCGAGCTATATTCTGATTTATAGTATAATGTAGTAATGCTTTTGACAGATCCAGCAGAAGTTGGATGCTGTGAAAGCCTTTGAAACCACACAAATTGATGGCTTATCAAAACTTCGGAACAGTTTGTTGTTGCACACTAAGCAACAGCAACAAGCATTGGAGACCTCACAGGAAGGATACCATGCCATGGACAAGTCCTTGAGCGGGTTCAAGCAGGTACCCTAATTTCTCATTACGTCTTCTGGTCAGATTAGTTTCTATCCTGCATTTACTTGAATGGAAGGTGACTTGAGACCCTAAGATTACCTCCCACTAAAAATTTTTCTTCTTTGGCCTGGAAAACAGATTTGTTTTATTTAAAAATACATATATATTTTTAACCACTACATGTTTCAACCCATTTTTGGGTTATCATCAGGTCGTGCAGACACAGTTTCAGCAATGCTAAACCACGCAGACCACTTAGTTCCATCTATGCTGAGGTCAAGAATGGTGGAGCTATACCTTCACTCCCCTATACATCTTCATGGTGTGGTGCTTAATTCAGCACAGGGACAATTTTACCTTTACCATACATATATGCATGATTTCAGAGTCCTTTACACGATCATCCATGTTCATGCACCCTGCCATCTGGTGAAAGGAGTATTAACCCAGTATGTGTGAATTTTCCGCTGGCATATGAATACCTAAGCCGATGATGAGATGGTCTGTATCAGCAGGTGATGATGATGCACCCATGTTCAGGTTTTAGATGCTAGTATCAATTTTTCAGTTACATCGACTGGCATCCAAAGGTTTTGTTTCAGATTTTACTATGAGAATATTTATGATAAGGGGATCTGTGCTCTATTTGCTGACTTTGTTGTTAACTTGAATGTTGAGATTATATATGTCTGCAAACAGTTACATAAAAGTTTAAATTTTTCTGGAACTGCTTGTGGGCAAAAACTACAATGCTGTATTTGAGGTTATTACAGCTGTGACTATGATGAGTAATAACCTCTTGAATGTGACACTATGTAGTCTGGTACAAGTTTACTGACATTTTGGAGGAAGTCAGTGAACTTCTAATGACTACATGGCATCACATTAGAAGATAGTACTCTTCTAGAATTACGGAACTTAACGTCAACAAAGTTCTGCTGTATGAATATAGTGGGCTTGAAGGATTCATTCAAGTTGAAATCACTAGGCATGTATATTGAATCTTCAAAAAGTGCACTATGACACATATAAATACCATATTTATATAAATAGATATATGTATTCACTGCATGAAATAAATGCCATATGAATAGGTTATGCACATTATTAGCATACCTGTTCTTAAATTCCAAAATCCTTATGTTGATTTTGTAATCAAATTTCATATTCAGTAAATTGGCAGGTGTTGTTTAATTTTAACCAATTGTAACCGATACTTATATAAAGGCAAACCATAAATGAATTTTTCTCATCTTTCATTGCATACACACCATTCTGTAGAATGTTTTAAATCAAGGTTATAAGCATTAGTTTAGTGTTTATTTTTCCCTTACTAACACTTCATTTGTTTTCAAGAAATGTTGCAAAGACAGGAAGTAAACAATTTGATGGAAGCTTTGTACAGGATTATTTTTTATATTGCATGATGTTCTCATTAAACTTCAGTTGCACTTTCATTCTTTTCTGTTGCTAGACTCTCATAACAGAGCTTCAACAATTGAAAAACTGGGCAGATCATATGTTGGGCATCCATGTAGATTTTGAGAACCAGTGTAATGACAGCAAGAATAAGATCAACAATGGCCTGTCTGTTGCCCGAGAGAAGTGCGACCACTTTTCTCAGGAGGCATCAGTTACTCTAGACCTGCAATTAAGGAGAAGAACTGAGCAGCTCACTGCTTTTGAGGCACAGACAGAAGAACTGCTCGACAGTGTCAGCAACTCCAGAGAAACAGTGAGTATAACTTCTGCAGTAATTCCTCAGTTGCCTCCATTTTTGTTCTTTCCAGCAGATAGTCATTGCCATGATATTCATTAGTAGATGCAGAGTATGGTAGCAGCAGAGATAATATGCGGCATAACTACTTGCATAGGACAGCTGGAATGTGCAATATCTTCCACAACGGATTTTCAAAGCCTACATTCATTCATCAGTAATCTGTCAGACGACAGGTCCACAGTCTCTTCCAAAACAGTTCCTCCACTTAATGCGATCTAGAGCTTTCTCCTTCAAATGAGAATATCCTCTTCTGTCCCCAAGGTCATCCAGCATCTTCTTACATCATCTTCCTCGTCTTCTGGTCACTTCTATCCGCCCCTCTATCTTTCCTTCAATAACTTCTTTTAGAAGACAGTTACTGCGTAAGACATGACCAATCCAATTAGCCTTCCGTTTTCTTATTTTATGTAGGATATTCCTCTGCTCACTGACTCTAAATAACACTTCTTCATTTCTCACATAATCGGTCCAACTGATCTTCCCTTCTCCAACACCACATTTCGAAGCAACAAAAATGTTTTTGAACAGCAATGAGTTTCATTCCCAAGTGCAATTATTGCATTATCAGTGGCTGCTTGTGGGGGGGGGACTGGTCCATGGGACTTCTGTCCATGACCTCAGGGCAATGAGAAAATGGCAGCTTCTTGTGAGAGGGGTGTAGTGGACGTAAGTTGCGAATTGTGCCCCTTGCCATTTGCTTTGTTTTTGTATAGTGAATTCAGTTCCCAAACTGTTTCATCTGACTTTGTATATTACATTATATATATTAGATGATGATTTCAGTCTGAACAGCTGATAGTTGGAGCAAAAAGGCTGCGAGAAAATATAGAGGATAGTGTCTGTTCAGCTGTATCAAATGGAGAGCAAGCTTGGAGGAACCACTACAGCTGGACAGAACAAGAACTGAGGAAGTATTCAGAAAACATAAATGGACGATTCCAGAATGAACTCAGACAAACTCAGGTATTGTTTTACTTTCGTACATTCCTTGTAATATGATTCTGTTTACTCAAGGTGATTATATTTTGTATACCTGATCAAAACTATAATTTTGCCTGTGATTCTGTAAGGGTATGAAACTTGGTCTCTTACATTAAGGGAGGAACATAGACTGAGGGTGTTTGAGAACAGGGTGTCAAGAATGTTTGGACTGAAGAGAGATGAAGTGACAGGAGGTTGGAGAAAACTGAATAATGAGGAGCTTCATTACTTGTACGTTTCTCCGAGTATAATTAGAATGATCAAGTCAAGGAGGATGAGGTGGGTAGGGCATGTAGCATGAATGGGGGAGACGAGGACTGTACATAGGATATTGGTGGGAAAGCCAGAAGGAAAGAGATCACTGGGAAGACCAATGAGTTGGTGGGTGGACAATATTAAAATGGATCTTAGAGCGACAGGATGGGATGGGATGGATTGGATTGAGCTGGCTCAGGATAGGGACCAGTGGAAGGCTCTTGTGAACACGGTAATGAACCTTTCGGTTTCATAAAATGCTGGGAAGTTTTTGAGTAGTTACAGAATTGGCAGCTCCTCCAGAAGGACTCAGCTCCATGAGTAAGTAAGTAATACCTGAGCAAACAGGTGTGTCAGAGATCCATTTATGTTAAAATATCAAGATGAGGGTAACATTTATGTTTTCAGGCTCTTGTGAGTGGGCTTAGGGAGTCTGCAGATTCTCATGAAGCTATACTGGAACAACAACGAATGGATTTTGGTACATTTGTTCGTGAGCGTCAGGATGATCTGGAAACTCAGTGTTCCTACGTAAATGGCTGGAGCCAGATTATGACTTCAGGCCTTCAGAAGTGCAATCAGGAATTGGAAAAGTTTTTGGATGAAGATCTACGGAAGGATATACCAACAGGTAAACATCATATGATCTTTTAGCTCTTATATTAAATGCACTGGAAGAGAAAGATTGTGAACACGTGCCATTTTGTTTGAGAACTGATTTGTTTGGCAAGTCACTTTGCACTGAATGTCACAATCAAATTAGTAACACTCCTGCTTTGAATTTGGTAGGTCCCAGATTCAGAACTCAGTCTGGAGACCAGAAATCATGAGTGAACCTTCATTGTTTTCCTCAGTCTCTCAGAGGAAGTGCCCCAGATTAGACCATAACTGTTTCCTTCCATGCCCTTTCCAATTCATTGCTCCCTAACCCTTCTGTTATCTGATGCTAGATGATCTGAGATTCTGAAAGTTTTGTTTAATGAACCAAGAATAAAATGAAAGTTACTTTGACGTTTTCATAAATATAACATTAAGTTCATCTGAAGTTTCACAAATAATATACTGTTGCCATCTCCTTTACTGATATTACATAAATATTTCTGATCATCTCACATCAACAACACACATAACACAACATAAAAAAGTTTTACTTTTCCCCAGTATTATAATAATATTTCCAATCACGTCAAATCAGAATACAGATACCACATATCATCATCATTGACAAAACAGGCCTTTTTGAGCCACAGCCTTCCTTAGAAGATTCTGACAGATGCATCTATTCCTGGGAGTTAGACCATTTGATTTCCATTCCTCTGGATTTCATAAGAGTAATTTTTTTTGCAGAGCAGTTTCTTCAGCCTTGTGTCCACCACAAAACCTGGAGGACCAGGTCACTAAATTTATGTCCCCCCAGTGATAGGGTGGCTCAATTATACCCTCAGGTACTGGGTTCCCTTTTCGTCACCTTCTGTGATTCATAGTAGTGTAAGTTTTGTAACCGGCCTCCACATGGGGAACGTAACACATATACAAAGGAATATTAATAAATGTTTTATAAATATTTATGTTACAGGAAATACACCAATGCGTAAAGAATTTTCATATCCAAGAGTGCTGGCAGCAACATCACCACATGACAAGATCCTTGCAAAGTTCCGGGAACTGACTGGTGGCATGCCACACTTGCATACCGCTGAAGTGAGTTCGAATATAGCAGATTGTCAGTTATCTGTGAGCAGATTACCCAGTATGTGAATTAAGCTGGAACCTTTAGAGCCCTCTTAGCTATTCATTATAGTTTCCTGTAATGATTAAAATGTTGTCCATTGTGTCTCTTCCAGTTATATGTATCAGCGATGCTTTACAACACTTTGCAGTAGAAACATGTTCTTGTCTTGTTGCAGAGTTTTATTTTATTGCTTTTTGCCCTGGCCTACTACCACTACTACCTAACACTGGCGTAGTTAATGTCACAATGAATGGCTCTCACAACACATGTAAGGAACAAATCTCAGTGACTTTCTGATGTTCCAAAGCATGTTCGTGAATAGCAGAGTGATCAAGCTACAGTGGTAGTCTGATGTTTTTCCAACCAGGCCTGATCTTGTTAGAACCTTAATTTGTTGCAGGACTTATATAAGTGATGCAATGAATCAGTCATGAAAAATGGCGTAAAATACAATTGAGTCCATAAAATTTATTACTCTGTGTTACCGTTACACAGGTTGTCAGTTCTCCGTCTAGTTCCTCCAGTGCCAGTAGTGAAGGTGGTTCAGATGTGGAGTTGCTGAAAGATATTCCATTTAGATCAGCATCTGTTACTGACATATCAAGTGCAGCAGATTTTGTTCTTGATCTTTCTCACCACAGTGAACCAGACTCACGAAAAAAGGTGAGCAGTAGCCTGGAAACTGAATCTGTCAATAGTCTCTTAATACACATGCATGGGAGCAATCAGAATAATTACAGATTGTTTTTATACAAAAGATGAGGGAGTAAATGTGGCAAATTGAGAGTAGTTTGTTCTGTCATGTGATGCTATTTACCTGTGCAGTCAACTGGGGCTTAACCCTGTTTCCAGTGTTGATATTATATAGCATACATCAGATGACAGGATAAATGAACTGGAAAGGGTTCGGAAGGAATCAGTCAATGGGTTTATCGGGGTACTATCCCAGCACTTGCTTGTATGTGCTGTGGAAACCACAAAATCCTCAGTCAGGATAGCTGGTGCCCTAGCCAGTATTCAAACTGAGCACCTTCTGAATACAAGACTAGAGTCTTACCTCAAACTCAACCTTGTCAGTTGTGTGCAGTCACTAAAGGCAATAAACAGGTTTGTACATCTTTGTCATTATACAGGATTTTGTTTTATGGAGTACTTGTGGAAAATGATGCCATGTATCATTCTTTTCATCTTCCTCCCCCAAAGAAAAACATACACAACCTCTGTATTTCTGAATAATATTGCATTTCAGCATGAGCTGGGATAGCAACTGGCTATAGGCTAGACAACAGGGGGATTGGATTTCAAGTCCTGGTAGGGTCAAGAATTTTCTCTTGTCTACGTCGTACAGACTGGTTCTGGGGCCCACCCAGCCTCCTATTAATGCATACCTGGGGCTCTCTCCCCAGGGGTAAAGTCCAAAGTGCCAGGGGTGTGAAGCTGACCACTCACCTCCAATTAGTATGGAGGCAAAGCAAATCTGTATCTACACATCCACTCCACATATGCCTTTATGGCATAGTTAAGCACAGGGACAACTTTATCTTTATCTTTTATTGTATTTCAGCATTCTGTTGCACTAACTTATCACTTATATGCACATATACTTCCATCACAAATGCAACTATGCAACTTCATTTTCCATTTACTCACAGTTGGCAGTTGCCAGCTCACAATTTCAAACATTTTCCATGCATCTAGGATGGTTATGTGGCATTTTTGATTTTGTGGTGTGTGCTGTGTTTTTGAAAATAAACTGTCCACTAATTCATTCTTTCCCTTTACAGAGTAGTGATAAAGAAAATTCAAAGGCTGTTGGTCTAACGAAGCATTATTCAGATGACATGCAATTCATGAAGAAAAGGCAAACTAAAGATAATTCTGTTCGAAGAATTCTGAAGTCTCAGAACTGATTAAATTGATCATTTGTGTTCAGTAGCATATTCTGCATTTCAATATTATAAAGTGTTCTTTCATAAAATTATGTATTATAATTTGGAAATGTATTGAGTTATATTGTGTTCAGAAAAACTGTACATGAAGTGGATTATAAATCACAAGGTTTCCAATCTTCTCTCAATTTCTATCAGATATTTTCTGCATGACAGACTGTATGTACTGAATCTTTAACTGGTGACATTTGAATGTGCTGTTAAGATATAATAGACATCAGTAGATGACGTGTATATTGTATAGCAACAGTCATATTTACATGCTTTTATAACTTAAAGTAGTTTTATTGAGAACAAGGAAGGACCTGGCAGTCCCAGTAATAACAATTTGGCCTTTGAGATTTAACTACAACTATCTATTAACACCATTTTATAGTATAGGAATGTGATATTTAGTTTACTGATGGATGAAGGAAATCACATTGAATTTTTCTGATATTCAGATATGTATTTGATGTCTTGATACATTGCGTGGCAGTGGCCATTTGATAATACTGACCCAAGAATATTCTGATTTCACTTCAGGAAATTATGATTGGATATATGGATAGATATTGACTGAAGGCCTAAAATTTCTTTTGTATTGTTCATTTTATCTACTTTTATACGTTTAGTTCGTTAATGTGAATTAGTAGGATGCTAGAGAATTGCAGTAGTTGTATGACAGGTGAGTCCAAGATGTGGAATTTTGAGGATAATGAGTTTTGTTCATTTGTTGTACGTTTGAGTAACTGATATGGAAATAAATTAAAGATAAGTTCATAAAGATGGCCATGTCCTTGAACAACAAAGTATGAATAACATGGTGGTGGTATTTTCATTACAAAAATCCCCATGTCCCTTCTGACAAGTATATATTTAAGTCCCTGCTGCTTCAGTATAATGCAATAACATTCTTTCTTACACTAAACTGAGGTTTTCACTAAATGGGGTTATTCAAAATTACACTGAAAAGCTGGTGATCTCTGTAATTGTGACAAAATATTTTCTTTATACCGGGTGTTCATTGTGTAGTCTTATTAGCTGTCCAGGGAGCTTCTCAGAACTTCTTATCAGCAGACACTGGGATTCCACTGAAAATTGATGGTCATTCATTTGGTGATCACCTGATCAGTGAGTCAGTCAGTGTTATGCCATCAAGTATTATGGAAGTTTCTCTTTATTGTTTTCTGTTATGTGTCTTTATGGCTCATATGAAGTACAATTTAAAGCAAAGAGTTTTCATCTATGATTGTTATGTGAAAAAAGAACTCATACAAATCATGCAGGAGAAAATTTTGCAATGTTTCCTGACATAACATGTCCATCTGGAGATACAATTTCCAAATTGGTGAAGAAAGTTGAAACCAACGGTATTTTAAGTGCCAGAAATCATGTTTTAACTGAGGACATTGGTCACTGATTAGAAAATTAATCTTGAAAATTTTTGTGGCGATTAGCACAATGAAGTGGTGTTTCTATTGGCAGCTCGTGGACAGCAAATAAACTGTTGCATATTCATCCTTATAAAATTACTGTTCCTGAAATTAATCCTATGGATTATGAAAAAAGGGTTAGGTTTTGTAATTGGTTTATAAGTCGTGAGCATGATGGACTTATTGATCCAAAGCTGATATATTTAAAAAACGTGGATAACTGTAATCTCTCAGGATATGTTAATTCATAAAACAGCAGGTATTGGTGTGCGATTTGCACAAACCATACCATTGAACCTATATTTTATGAAGGAATTCTTGATGCTCAACGACAGATTAATGAAATACTCTATCCATTTTTCGTTAATTTGGCATCTGCAGAAGAAAGTTTTGATTATCTTATGCAAGACGGTATGACTCCATGCGTAGCTAAGGAAACTATTCTAGTATTACGGTGTGTTTCGAGAATCAATGGGGAGGATATGTATATGATTGTGTTGTAATACTTGTTTTGCTTGTTTCAGTACAATATTGGTCCATGAAAGAGATATGTTACTTCTTGGCACCATTCGAACCATGGGCAGCCAGAATTAAAATTGCACATCTTTCTCCAGAATCAGGCACAGCATATCTATTGTATAATATAATCTGATAATATATGACAATTTTCGAAAATTTACAGATATAAAACCAATCCCTGGCAGTGATGTGATACGCCAATTAACCTATACTAATCTAATGCCATCTGATGATGCCCAGCTCAAATAATCAGGCTGTTGTGAATATCTAACCTAACAACCCAACAGGGAACTGACGAAGCTTTGCCTTATGCACAAGTGCGGCAACAGTGGTCTGAACCAACAGCCCAGTCTAATTTAGTGCTACCATAATGCTTAACATGTGTTAACATAATCAACTAAAGAAGGGTTAGAAGCTTTCAAATATATTAACCCATGTCTGCATTTTCCTGGAGTTTGTAAACAGATGTTAGACTGGTACAATAGGCCAGAAGTGGTGGCAGTACAAGGGACTTGGTCCCACGCCACTAGCAATAAAAAAATATACAGTATATACAGCTTTATGTATAAGAGACATGAACGAGCAAATGTAGGAGAATGATCTGAATGAGTCCTAGTGACATTCGTGAGCTAAATAACAGTGATATGTTGAATTCTTGAGGATTAAAAAATTAGTCGATTTTACGGACTATTGGAACTTCAATAAGCTCAACTTTTTCTTTTAAAATAAACGAATTCACGTTGTCTAGTATTTAAAGGCTTAAGGTATTTTAAGTCTCAGTATTTATTTGTTTGGAGTGATGGTATTACTAAAGCACATTTGAAAACTTTTTGAAATCCACTTGGATTTATAAATCTCAGAAAATGAAAAACATGTGGGATCTGAAGTGTTAATTCTCTCCAAAGTTTTAAAATGTGCGAATATTTGAAGAAAGATTTCGAGTGTGTCAGTGCTTTTTAAATTCTTCAAAATGACAAGGCCAAATTTCATGGTGATGGGATATGAGTTGATGTGATGCGTCAATATAATAAAAATGTATCCAGCCTAACCAATGGTATCTGGAACTAGTAGGACCAAGTGGCTGCGCAGTGGCATGTTCCGCTAATCTAAACTAATTTAACCTATGTAAGATTTAAGGTTTTAACCTGATTGCTGTCTCACCAATGGAGGGTCACGTTACCCTCGTTCAAAAGGAGTTGCGCAATCTCACCAAGCTCACCAACTACAGTGCCAGTTAAGAAGGGGTGCTCAGTTGGATGCATAGTACTTGTGCGAACCCAATCTAACCTAACTTAACCTAACACTCCTAATCCTCCTAACACTGCCCAGTTTTGCCAGCTGCTGCCCCAATGAGATGAGGGATGCGCAGTGGTATGCTCATCGTAGGTCATTGCTCTCTCGTCCGCCGTGTTTTTATTACTAATTATTAGGGCCCGCATTTCTATGACATGTCATATTTTTTTCCTAGGGTTTATGCCTATTTTTAAATGTAATTATGCATGTTTCCAGTCATTCTTATTGAAATTATGTCGTTTTTATTGTGCATATAAATGCATATTTTAGAGTTTTATTGGTTTTACAGCATATTTTGGCATAATTTTGAAATAAGGTCATATTTTTGTCATTTTAGAAACAATTCTTTGATATAATGTAAAATTTCGGCTCCATAATGTTTAGTATTACAAAATA